TTCTTTTTTTAAAATTAAAAAAAATTGGATTTTCCCCCCCCCCCTTCCCCCCCCCCCCCCCCAAAAAATATAAAAAAAAATGTGTTGTTTGTGCCCGTTTTTTTTTAGGGAGAAAATTTTGTCTTTTTCCCAAAATTTTGGTTTTTCCCCCCCCCCCCCCTTTTTCCAACCCGACCGTGTATGCAGTTTCATTTTAGCTACCACCCTTTGGACGTGGAGGAGTACATACCGCCGAAATAAACGTCATGTCGGCAGAAAGGAATGCGCTGTGTGTGAGCGCTGATGAAAATCTGTCGCCCCCCCCCCGACCCCCCTTCCAACCCGACCGTGTATATCAGGGGTTCATGTGAGGGGGGGGGGGGGCGATGGGGGGTGGGGAAGGCCAGATTTTCAATACTTTAGAACGACGATTTCTTGGGGCGAGAATACATGAACGACGGACAGAGTGTAAGTTGTATTGTTCGGTGTGATGGGACAAGTTAGTGGCCACACACACAGCATTACTCCACAGATTTTGGTTGGGGGGGCGCCGCAAAATCGACAGGAGAGGTAGCAATCCCCCAACACCGACAGCAGGACCTACATCAACAAACCAGCAACCAGCACCGCCACCGGCAACATCAAGGCCACAGCGGCACAATCGTTGTGGCAGAGAAAAAAAAGCGACAAAAAAAACACCGCAACCAAGAGCAGTCCAATACGCATAGCACCACCGGAAGCAATCAACGACAAAATCACCCTCCCCTCCCGATCGGCCCAGTGAGAAAAATGCCCCGTACTCCGGAGGACGCGTGGTCAATGGTCTTCTAGCAAGTGAGGCGTGCAAAACATGAGCACGTCTTCCACGCCTCTGCCAGCCCCGAACAACCGCAACGCCCCGTCCACCTATCAACGCAGCGTTCCACACACACACACACACACACACACACGCCGCACCTCTCCTAACACGCCTCCACTTCTCCGGCCCGGCGGAGATGTCCGAGGTCTCCGACGCGGCGTAACCGGTGCTGGATCGACCCCCGCCGTAGCTCTGCCTGTTCAGGCGCGACCGGCTCGCCTGGCTCCCGCTCTCCATCGCGTCGTACGCTCCGCCATCGTCTGATGAGAGAGAGAGCGCCAAAGACCATCGGCAGGGGGGGAGAGATGTGTGCTTGTTGCTTAGAAGGTGGTTGTTTCGTTCCAAGCACAAGGCTAATTCCAAGCCCGGTCTTGTCGATGTTAGAATGTCCGGGACATGTTGCCGTACGTAGCTGCAAGCACCTGTACCCATGCATCCCGCTGCTACCGTATATGACACAAGATAACACACCCCCTTGGCCGATTTTCAAAGCTCGATTTCTCAACAGCAGGAAGAGTCACAGCGCCGAAAACGGCGGCGTTGGAACCGTCTCGTCGAGAGCTGTTCGAAAACGTATTGTTTCATTTATGCATCCTCTTCGTCGTGGAGTAATCGAGCTTTGAAAATCGGTCCAGGGGGTGTGTTATCTTGTGTCATATACGGTATATTCCAGCACAACGTGAAGAAAATTACGGTAAAGTTGTGTGACACTAGGAACATGTGCTTCGCTTGATGCGACGTAAATTGACGTCTCCGTTTAGCTGGTATGTGCTACTTTTATCTCTGAAGTTCCAAATAATTGTTGGCGAAGAAGAGAGACCTAAATCGCGCACCCACACAGGTGTATCGCGACACAATTCAAGGCAAGTTGTGCCGCGAAAGCCGCGTCCTTTCACGTGGCACAAACAAACATGTGCACCGCGAAAGGCGCCCTATCGCGGTACAAAAAAAACGTACACGTGTGTATACAAGTACCCAGCGAGACTTAGCGTGGCACCGGATCGAAAATGTAGCTCCAATGAGTACAGAGGGATGGGCCGCCTTCTATGCATAAGACGGACGAGATGGAATGCTTCAACAAAAAACGGCAGTATTTCTGTGGTGTATGTATGTGTGTTGTCAAAGAACAAACGTCCGCCTGTCAAGGACTTGCTGCATACAGGACCGAGCTTCTAGCCTCTCGACGAATTGCCAACCAATACATGTATGAGGCGTGGATACCAAAATGAACGTCATGGTAAATAAATACGGCCGTCCATGGGTTTTGATTTGAAGATGAGGCGTGGATACCAAAATGAACGTCATGGTAAATAAATACGGCCGTCCATAGTAAAGACAAAAAAAAAAAAAAATGGGCGAGGATATCCAACGTCTGTAAAGGGCAAGCATTCATTATACCTACCCCTGGTGCAAGCATCATGGCTTTGCAAAGCTACGTACGACGAATATGTCGTGTAGAGGAGAGGTGGTTGCCTGCTCCTTACACACATGGTAGGGCCAGGGAAGAGCATGCGCCTGGAAAGAACGTCTTCCAATCAAAAATGGTGACAACAGCAAGTGTTGAAGAGTGACCTCCAATACATGTAATAGTCAACCAAAGACGTTCCGTTCATTCGAAATCGATCAAATCGACCCCGAAGAGGCCAAAAGAACCTTCACAAAGCCGGGTCATGCTACTGAGTGATGGGTAAGCGGGGGGGGGAGAGAGAGCCCCAGTCGGCAGAAAGAAGGCAGAGCGGCGAGCAGCACCCTCAGAGGCTAGCCGGTGGTGGTGGTTGGTGATCAATTGCGTGTGCGTTGTTGTGCATCTGCTGATGCCGACTCAACTTGGGTCGAGAGTTGGAATTTAATCACGGAACACGCGGCGGAACATGTTCGAATTTCTTGGACGAAACGTTGTGTTCATATGCATAGCGTTGTAGCGTTTTCCAAACAGCGTGGGGTCGGGATTTCGAACCAGCGCCTGATATCGTCCGCGGGTCAAGCTAATCTCAGCTGCTGCTATTCATCGTAGTGGCGGGATTGCGGGCGGGGAAACTCCGGTAGCGACCTCACAGCCATCATCAGGGACGAAGTATCGAAACATACGCAAGGCCCCAAAGCGGCTGCTGAATGCACGAAAAGATCAGAAGGAGACTTGCCTGCGTTTTTGCGCGGGAGCATTCCAAGTTTTTTCGATCACGCACTTTCTGTTTCAACGGCCATCGACACCGAAGCCGACACACACACACACCTAGGCACGCGTGCAGCACCCTGTCGTGAGGGATGAAAACAGCCTCGTTCGCGCGTTTAGCTATTGAACACGAGGCACTCTTACAAGTATTGCAAGCATGACGGGATGCCTCCGTAACGAACACATCTTGCACATCTCTCTCGCCCGACATGGAAGACAAAACACAACGGGATACGTATCAACCCAGTAGAGAGGCCCCGGCACAACACCGCACCCGGGGTACCGGGACTCACCGTGGTCGGGCACCGGCTGCCGACCCTTCTTGCCGCCCAGGACCATGTCAACCTCCGCTCTCAGCGTCGAGATCCCAATCACAACACCCCAGCGTGTGCGTCGTGTGTGCCCTGCCCGCTCCCACTCGTCGTTGCTTCCTCAAGTGCCGGGGTGTCTGTATACCCTTCCCGTTTCCGGGCACTTGCGTCCTTCTGGGGAAGTAGCGGTGAGCGGGAGGACTGGAGCACCTAGCCCTCGACGTCAGACACCTCAAAGACCTCAAGTCGCGCTGTTTCGGTGGTGTTTTTTCAAGGTGATGGATTCCGAGAAAGAGAGGCACAGCCCCCACAGACAGCTAGAGGAGGCCCCACCCCCGATCACAGGCTGCAACGCGTAGTACCCCCGCAAACCGAAACTTCCGATCCGCGTCTCCCCGTGTCCACAGGTGTCAAGTGAAGCAAGCGTGCAAAGTGTCAACCAACACAATGGTTCCACAAACCTGGTGGCTGTTTTGACGTGTCGTTCTGCTTGTTGTCGTTGGGGGAGAGGCAAGAGCGGAGTGTCGTAACCAAACGAGCTTTACCACGGGCGGTTAGGGCTCCGTGCCGTGCGCCCTTTCGTCGACGACGGCACCCGCAGCAACATCAACATCCGGTGGCAATTCCCAAACGGCATGGCATCATGCGGCATCAACTAGCTCACTCGGCAGAGGAAGCTCCTCCTCCTCCTCCTCCTCTTTCTCCTCCTCCAGCACCAGAATCACCAGAGGCGACAACAGCAACAGTAGCAGCAGCAGCAGCAGCAGCAGGGACTGAAATAGCCGCACGGGCAGACGGCCGCCTGGTCGTGGTGCCCTTGTTGGCAGCAGACGATGAAGCAGCGGTTGCTGCGGTGATTCCCCCGCACGTCTACCCCGCCGCTGACATGAGTATTGGCGTTGAACCAACGGGGCCGGCGGCGACGACACCGCCGTTGCTACCCCCTCCGCCCGACGACGTGCCGCCACGCATCGAATGCCGTGACATATCGGGGGGCACCGCCGCCGCCGCCACCACTGCCGCCGCCGGCGTTGCCGGAAATGCGCCGGTTTCCTCCTCCTCCTCCTCCTCGTCCGCCACCGCCGCCCCGCTCTCTACTGAACCAGCTTCCCCTGGAAAATGCCGCACCAACAGCAAGGACAACAACGGGAGCACCGCTGCTGCTTCAAGTACAACCGAACCCCACCACCAGGTTCAGCAACCATTATTCGCGCCGGCTGGTTCACGGGACAGCAGCGAACCCCGCCGGGAAAAAAACGGCAACGCCGCAGTGAGTTTTCCGGACGCGAGCGGCGTTCTCTCTGCCGCTACGCCTGCTGCTGCCGCGAGCGGCGGAAAGAAGGATGGCGGTGTTAATAATTGTAGTGGCAGTGAAGAGCTGGTTTCCGGCCCGAGAGCGTCGATGGAGTCGTCCTTGAGGTCGCTCGGCGCGTCGAGCGACCGCTGGCTGGAGGACTTCGACGCTGACACGAGTGACTCGGTGAAGTAAATTATCCTTTCGTCAAGCACCAGTTAGTTGTCCTGTCTTCCTTTGTTGTGTTAGCCTTACGGGCTTCACTGAGGATGGACGCCGTCGCCGCTGCAGTGCTGCGCGCTGCTGCGATGCGCTCTGTTGTCGCGTGTGTACACCTGGTCTAAACTGTCACCGCCGCATCAGAAAACTGATGCCAACCATCGTGTGTACTCGGCAGGAAGAGTTTTTCGTTTCACCTCGTGTGTGCGAGTCTGTGGTGCAGACTTGCAGGTTCCCCCTAGACAGGAAACTTTTCTTGTGTGTTGATCGATGGTTTCGGCTGGTTGAGCCGCAAGGCTGCACAGCTGCTGCGGTAGCTGATCCAATCTCGTACATAGCCGCGTTTGCTGGGACAGGCTGGTCCTGCGATGGTTGCTATGGCCGTGCGACTGCTGCTCGCATTGTGGTGGAGTCGTTCTCGCCGCCACACGGATGCTGCGTTGTTTTCTTGCTGGGACCTGGTGGTTCACACCAGACTGTTGCCAAGATTGTGAAGCTATGCTATTCGTCGGCAGTGGGAGGCGCCTGCCCTAGGGAGCGAGGGGTTTACGATGCATCATGCCACGGCTCCCCTCGGGGCTAGTGATGAAATATCGCCACAACGCTTTTTCCGGGCAAACTCTCGATGCCGTTTGTCGTCGCGAATCTCAGGACGAGGAGGACAGCGACGAAGACGGTGACGACGTCGACAGCAGCAGCAGCAGCAGCAGCAGCGGAAGCAGCACGGCCAACAATGCAGCTCTCTCTCCCGCCGCAACCACCTTCAACATCCCGCGGCTGCGCGACCCGCTGGGGATTAAACCCCCAATGAGAAAACCAGAGATGGAAGAAGACGGGGGTCCGTCCCCCGCTCGCGCGATCGCCGACCCCGTCGACAAAGTCTGGACCAGCCTGGTGCCGCGGCACCAGTGCTTCATCGACCGGTGGCCTCCGGACGAGATGGCGGCGGGAGGGACGGCAGAGGGGGGGCGTGAGCAGGGTGCTGGACCGTCGCTTGAGGTGAGGGCGGTAGGGGTGGGGAGGGGGGAGGGCTCTCGGTTACCACCGCGAAACATCTTATCGTGTCGGGTTTTTTGTGTTACAGGCAGGAGGTCGTTTGATGACAACGTGCACGTGCGTGTCGTGGGGTCTTGTCTTTGTCTACGTTAGGTGTTAGGTCTTCTCGACGGGGATGTTTCCGATGAGCAATTAATCGAGTAATTCAGTGTGTTTTGATTCGTTTGGGAGCGTTATTCCGCTGGTCTGACCCAGAGCTCAGCTTGCTGGAACTTCAGGTACACATGTATGTCCGCGTTTTTTTTGCTCACCTCGTGCTCTCTCTCTCTATGTTGTATGTATGTGTGTCTCTCTCTGTCTCTCCCTCTCTGTATTCTCTCTCTCTCTCTCTCTCTCTCTCTCTCTCTTGTATCTACTGTGTGTCTCTCTCTGTCTCTCCCTCTTTCTTCTGTCCCTCTCCTTCTTTGTCTGTCTCTGTCTGTCTCTGTGTCTCTCTCTCTCTTGTATCTACTGCTCCGGGGTCGGTCCTCGAAAAAAGGCACGTCTGCTGATCGAAGAGTGGCTTCGCAGCAGCAAGGGGAGCCCGCGCGTCTGCGCCGAGCGACTCAGGCGGCTGGCGGATGCCCGGGCTTCGTGGAGATGGCCGGAGGCGTGTTTCCTGGCGAGGGACGTTGCGGATGTTCTGCTTACGGGAGCGATGAAGGTGGGCTGCTGAACAAGAATTCGTGCGTTGATCATGGCTCCTCCGTTGGCCCATCCATCCGGAAGTGGGAATTGTACATATTCCGGCTTGTTTTTTGGGTGTAGGCTGATTGCGGTTATTTTTTGGGGTATCCGCTGGTGGATCACGGAAGAGCTTCAGCGGCAGTAGTTTGCGGTGCCATCTGTGAAAGGTCGGAATAGATGGAGCGGGCACAAAAGGCCCTTGCTCCTTGGCTGAAAGCCCTTGTTGCCGGGTGTGAATCCGATTCATGGCCACGGCGTGGGTGCGGGCACACGCGTGGGAACACGCACAAAAAATACAGCACTGCTGTCGACACAAGAACGGAGTTCAAGAGCAGATCCTCCTCCCTCCCCGTTGCGCATAATGATAACATCCCGCGAGACATCCGTCCTTGGCGTGGCACCGAATCGTAGATGTAACTCTCCTGTCAGATAACAGAAGACAAGAACGAACGGCAAGAAGAAATATCCTTTTTAACCGATCCTCCTCCTCCTCCTCCTCCTTCTTCTCGTTCTTCTCCTTCTTCTTCTCCTCCTTCTTCTCCTTCTTCTTCTCCTTCTTCTTCTCCTTCATCTTTTCCCTCTTCCTCTTCCTCTTCCTCTTCCTCTTCCTCTTCCTCTTCCTCCTCCTCTTCCTCTTCCTCCTCCTCTTCCTCCTCCTCTTCCTCTTCCTCTTCTCCTCCTTCGGACAGCTCCTCCCCGGAAGCTCCCGCGGCGGCTCAGCCCCCCGGTCCCCCCCCATCCTGGTGGTACACACACGCCTCGTCGACCACGAGCGGTGCCCCCCGGCCCAGTACACCAAAGGCCTGAGCTACCTCGTGCAGACGCTGGCGGCGGAGAGGAGAGCCAACGGCGGCGGCGGCGGCGGCCGCAGGAGTCGCCGGCGAGCGTCTTGCGATTCCTCGGCATCGGGATTTTTTTTCGGCGACAGCGAGGAGAGCGAGGGCGACTACGGCGGAGACGTTCGCCACGACAGCAGCGGTACCGGCGGTGGTTCTCCGGTACCTACGGGGTCCACATGTTCGAGCGACTCGGAGGTAAGGCGTGCGGTTTTCTGCTGCTGTGCAGCGTTCTGTGCGGGCGGTTTGGCTTGGAGGGTTTGGTTGTACCCGGGTTTTTCGGTAGAGCACGAGTAGCGCACGGTCGGTCGGGGGATACTACCAAGATTTTGGGCAGCAGCGCGGTCACTAGAGTGGTGCGTTGATTGACACAATGGGTACGTACTGTGGTGGCTGATGGTGGCAATGGCGGGGTACGTAGTGAGGGGCGAGGCACACGCTGGGGAGAAGAGAGCTGCTGGTGGCGCTGACGCGGGCGTACAGTTAGTGGTGGCGGCATGACGAAGACAAGGCCGTCCTGAGGCGATCGGTTGTTGGAGGCTTTCGGTGTGGCGTTACCGCGTTGAAGTGACGCTCGAAATACTCACCATGACGTCAACAACAATATCAACAACAACAACGGCGATGACAACGACAACAACAACAACAACAACATTAAAGGTAAACGGCTTGCAATGTCGTGATGAAAAAAACTTTTTGTGACGCAGCGAGGGCAAGCGGAGGTGATCCTAGTGATCGACGCCCACAAGGACACCGTGGGGGCCAAGGTGAAGAAGATCATCAGCCTCTTCATCGGCGGGGGCGGAGAAAGCGACGATGGGAGCGCCGGCGGGGCGAAGGCAGGGAAGGGGACCCCGCGAGACAGCCTGAAAAAAGGTGTTGTGTGTTTTTTATTAATAGCATCGACCGCGCTAACCGGCTGACCAATGAAAAGACGCCAGGCTCAGTGCGCACGAAAGCAGAAAATGCTTCTAGAGGCCATGATCTCGGACCCCGGGTGTGCGTAGGAGATAGGCGCTGCTGCTGATTTCGTGTTCGTTCTTGGCGGGGAGGTGCCCGTTTGATCCGACGTGTTTCATCGGTCAGGGTTATTTCGTCGTTTCTGAGATTGTGCTCTTTGGCATTTAATCTCTCTCTCTCTCCGTCTCTCTCACTCTCCGTCTCTCTCTTGTTTTTTTACTCTCCCTCTATGCGCACACGGCACACACAGCCAAACCACACACCCCTCTACAGGATATGCAACCAACACCCGTGACCTTTGTTATGTGCTGATGTTGTTCTTGATGGACCCCCCCCCCCCCCCCCTTCCGTAGGTGCTGCAG